CAACGTAATAGTTTATGTTTGTTCATATTCACATAGAAGTTATATTGTCATAGATCCTTCAACATGTGGTGCTTGCCTTCCATCTTTTCTAGCCAAAAATTCCGCACCAAGTAGAGATACTACTTGTGCATCCAAAAACCATTAAACCCAAATCTTATTTTTTAAGAGTCCACTATACCTACCTATATGTTGTATTATTTTGCCGTTCTAAGCAAATTTGTATGTGCCATCTCTAATTTTCAAAATAAATTTCTCTTTTGTGTGCTCGTACCGCTCGTGAGGCGGCGAGGGGTGGCCAATATTTTCCATGATATATGTGTTATTCTCATGATGAGTGTTTATTCACTTGTCATTGCACGAGAGTAAGGCAAAGGTATTAGGGATGCCCAGTCCCGAAATGAAAAATGAATTTACTTTATGTTGTCAAATAATAAATTCCATGGAAAGTGTTGGTATGGTGGGCACCCGTGGATACGGTTAGCCATGGAAAGTGAAAGTATGGTGGAAAAAGGAATAAACTTTATTTTCTGTTTGGGAATCGCCAATGATATATCTAGCATGGAAAGTGTTGGGAGCTCTAAGTCGTTTTCGTTGGTGGGAAAATTATGCCTCTCAAAATGTTTTTATCTCTCAATTTTCACCTTGAGCTCTGGCACCTCTACAAATCCCTACTTCCATCTGCGAAGGGCCTATCTTTTACTTTTTAGTATTTACTTTTATGCAAAGAGTCAAAGTATTCCTCTCTATTCCTTTTTATTTTCTCTTTTGGTAAGCATCATGTGGTGAGGAAAGATCTAGGAACATATGTCCAGTTGAATATGGGTAGCATGAGTTATTATTGTTGACATCACCCTTGAGGTGAATACGTTGGGAGGCGAAATTATAAGCCCCTATCTTTCTATGTGTTCGGTTGAAACGTTTTGCCCATGTGTACAAGGTGAGTGTTAGCACTCATAGAGGACTATATGATGGTTGAGTATGTGGAGCTCTTACTTAAACTTTGTTGAATAAGTTGAATTGCAATTGCTTAGTGACTAAGAACATAGGTTGTTGAGTTTCAAGAGAATTTATTGTTTGAACCTTAACATGTGAATTGGTTGCTACTATAACATAAGAAGTTTCATAAGAAAGAATTGCTGCTATGATGCTAGGAAAAGTGATTGAAATTATCATTGATCAAACTTATGCACTTTGCTAGCATTCACACTTCATAAATTATTTCTTTTATCATTTACCTACTCGAGGACGAGTATGAATTAAGCTTGGGGATGCTGATACGTCTCCAACGTATCTATAATTTATAAAGTATTCAAGTTGTTATTTTATCATTCTTCGGTGTTTTACAATCATTTTATAGCAACATTATATCATTTTTTGGGACTAACCTATTGACCCAGTGCCCAGTGCCAGTTGTTGTTTTTTGCTTGTTTTTTACATCGTAGGAAATCAATATCAAACGGAGTCCAAACACCGCGAAACTTTACGGAGATTATTTTTGGACCAGAAGGAACCCAATGGGCTAGAGCTACTCTTGGGGGTGCCCCGAGGGGGGCACAACCCACCAGGGCGCGCCAGGGCCCCCTAGCGCGCCCAGGTGGGTTGTGCCCACCTCGGTGTCCTCCTGTACCCCTTCTTTGCACTATAAATTCCCAAATATTCCGAAACCGCTCGGGGTTAACCTAGATCAGAAGTTCCACCACCGCAGGGCTCCGTAGCCACCGAAAACCAATCTAGACTCGTTCCGGCACCCTGCCGAATGGGAAGAATCATCTCCGGTGGCCATCTTCATCATTGATACGTCTCCAACATATCTATAATTTTTGATTGTTCCATGCTATTATATTATCAACCTTGGAAGTTTTATATGCATTTATATACTATTTTATATGATTTTTGGGACTAACCTATTAACCTAGAGCCCAATGTCAGTTTCTATTTTTTCCTTGTTTTAGAGTATCCCAGAAAAAGAAAATCAAACGGAGTTCAATTGATCTGAAATTTCACGGAGATCATTTTTGAACCAGAAGAAGCCCATAGAGTACCGGAGATGGGCCAGAAGAGTCTCGAGGCCACCATGAGGGTGGGGGGCGCGCCCTACCCCCCTGGGTGCGCCCCCCTACCTCGTGGACGCCTCGGGGACCCCCCAAACTTGTTCCCGACTCCAACACCTCTTATATAACCCAAAACTTCCATAAAGAAACCTAGATCGGGAGTTCCGCCGCCGCAAGCCTCTGTAGCCACCGAAAACCAATTTGGACCCGTTTCGGCACCCTGCCGGAGGGGGGGAATCCCTCTCCAGTGGCCATCTTTGTTGGAAATATGCCCTAGAGGCAATAATAAATTGGTTATTATTATATTTCCTTGTTCATGATAATCGTTTATTATCCATGCTAGAATTGTATTGATACGAAACTCAGATACATGTGTGGATACATAGACAACACCATGTCCCTAGTAAGCCTCTAGTTAACTAGCTCGTTGATTAATAGATGGTTACGGTTTCCTGACCATGGACATTGGATGTCATTGATAACGGGATCACATCATTAGGATAATGATGTGATGGACAAGACCCAATCCTAAGCCTAGCACAAAGATCGTGTAGTTCGTATGCTAAAGCTTTTCTAAATGTCAAGTATCATTTGCTTAGACCATGAGATTGTGCAACTCCGGATACCGTAGGAATACTTTGGGTGTGCCTAACGTCACAACGTAACTGGGTGGCTATAAAGGTACACTACAGGTATCTCCGAAAGTGTCTGTTGGGTTGGCACGAATCGAGACTGGGATTTGTCACTCCGTGTAAACGGAGAGGTATCTCCGGGCCCACTCGGTAGGACATCATCATAATGTGCATAATGTGACCAAGGAGTTGATCACGGGATGATGTGTTACGAAACGAGTAAAGAGACTTGCCGGTGACGAGATTGAACAAGGTATCGGGATACCGACGATCGAATCTCGGGCAAGTATCGTACCACTAGACAAAGGGAATTGTATACGGATTGATGAAGTCCTTGACATCGTGGTTCATCCGATGAAATCATCGTGGATCATGTGGGAGCCAACATGGGTATCCAGATCCCACTGTTGGTTATTGACCGGAGAGGTGTCTCGGTCATGTCTGCATGGTTCCCGAACCCGTAGGGTATACACACTTAAGGTTCGATGACGCTAGGGTTATAGGGAATAGATATACGTGGTTACCGAATGTTGTTCGGAGTCCCGGATGAGATCCCGGACGTCACGAGGAGTTCCGGAATGGTCCGGAGGTAAAGATTTATATATGGGAAGTCCTGTTTTGGTCGCCGGAAAAATTTCGGGTTTTATCGGTAATGTACCGGGACCACCGGGAGGGTCCCGGTGGTCCACCAAGTGGGGCCACCAGTCCCGGAGGGCTGCATGGGCCAAGTGTGGGAGGGGACCAGCCCCTGGTGGGCTGGTGCGCCCCCCCACCAAGGCCCAAGGCGCCTCCAAGAGGGGAGGGGGGCAAACCCTAGGGCAGATGGGCCCTAAGGCCCACCCCAGGTGCGCCTCCCCCTCTCCCCCTTGTGGCCGCCACCCAGATGGGATCTGAGGGCTGCCGCCACCCCTAGGAAGGGAACCCTAGGTGGGGGCGCAGCCCCTCCCCTTCCCCTATATATACTTGAGGTATTGGAGGCTACAAGACACACGAGTTCTTCTCCTTCTTGGCGCAGCCCTACCCCTCTCCCTCCTCGTCTCTTGCGGTGCTTGGCGAAGCCCTGCTGGAGTACCACGCTCCTCCACCACCACCACGCCATCGTGCTGCTTCTGGATGGAGTCTTCCCCAACCTCTCCTTCTCCCCTTGCTGGATCAAGGCGTAGGAGACGTCACCGGGCTGTACGTGTGTTGAACACAGAGGCGTCGTCCGTTCGGCACTAGGATCATCGGTGATTTGGATCACGACGAGTATGACTCCATCAACCCCGTTCTCTTGAACGCTTCCGCGTAGCGATCTATAAGGGTATGTAGATGCACTCTCCTTCCCTCGTTGGTAGACTTCTCCATAGATTGATCTTGGTGATGCGTAGAAAATTTTGAATTGCTGCTATGTTCCCCAACAGTGGCATCATGAGCTAGGTCTATGTGTAGTTTCTATGCACGAGTAGAACACAAAGTAGTTGTGGGCGTTGATTTTCTTCAATATGCTTACCGTTACTAGTCCAATCTTGATTTGGCGGCATTGTGGGATGAAGCGGCCCGGACCGACCTTACACGTACTCTTACGTGGGACTGGTTCCACCGACTGACATGCACTAGTTGCATAAGGTGGCTGCGGGTGTCTGTCTCTCCCACTTTAGTCGGATCGGATTCGATGAAAAGGGTCCTTATGAAGGGTAAATAGCAATTGGCATATCACGTTGTGGTTTTTGCGTAGGTAAGAAACGTTCTTGCTAGAAACCCATAGCAGCCACGTAAAACATGCAAACAACAATTAGAGGACGTCTAACTTGTTTTTGCAGGGCATGCTATGTGATGTGATATGGCCAAGAAGAATGTGATGAATGATATGCGATGTATGAGATTGATCATGTTCTTGTAATAGGAATCATGACTTGCATGTCGATGAGTATGACAACCGGCAGGAGCCATAGGAGTTGTCTTTATTTATTGTATGACCTGCGTGTCATTGAACAACGCCATGTAATTACTTTACTTTACTAGATGACTCGTTGCGCCAATGGCGCAAAGGCCGAAAGGGAGCCAAGTATTGTGAGAATATTTAGACACTTAAGTCGAAAACCAAATGTGGCCAACACTGCAGCAACCTCTACTTGAAAGCCGCCTTTTCTCACCGGATCTAACATAGATACATAATTCTTCAAGAGCAAATTTCAAAGAAAATATAAAACATGGAAGGCTTTAAGTTGTACTATTGAGACCATACCACCATATCTTCATTTAGTTTCTTTGGAAATCTAAAGGTCTAAGAGGATCATACATGTGAGAAGCTGTGAATCCACAACAAAAACCTAAACTAACTTCCAAACAGCTCAGATCTCTCGTTGTAGTGCGGGGACATGTCCTTAATCCTGCATCCACAACACATAATTTTTCAACACCTAAATCCACGAAATCCAACCGAAGGAAATCATGGCAGAAAAATGTGTCGTGGCTTACATCTCCGAGAACTTCTTGGCATACTTCTGCAGGTTGGACACAGCAATCCTCGCTGCGAGCTGCTGAAGAACCACACATGCACCTTCCTTCACCTTGCCCTTGGGGAGGAGGGGGGCAACACTTGCAGCGCCACGACAAGGCTTTGCAAATGCCGCCGGCGAGAGCGCGCAGCAGAGGGCGTTGAGAGTGGCAGCGGCCTTCGCCTCGGCGCGGGCATGGTGGCCATGCGACTCGAGGCAGCACACGAAGCGGTCGCGCTGGAGCACCACGCTATGCACAGATGTGTAGGCAAGTAACAAAGATTGGTCAAAGGGAAACAAATTATCCAAAAGAAGAAAGGTTTTATATATTTTCAACATACCCAGCCATAAAATCAGATGCTTCTTGATTAACAAAATGAACACACAATTAAGCGGGGCATAGAAGGTGTACAATTATGTACTGAAAAAAATCAGAGGGGTTAGATTATGTTCAAATGAGATAAATCATCAAGGTTCCAATGATAGAAAACTTTGGGCCCGATGCACTGATTAATGTTACAGCACACAGGCAAGCTAGACATCTACGTCTGGAGCGAATACTTTCTTCTTCCTATATATATGAGAAAAAACACGCGCATCAGACTTGAAAGCAAAACGAGCCTGGAAAAATTGATGTAGTGCAGAGGAGTAACAAATAAAGGAACACAAAAATTCCAGAAATTGTTCAGGGTCCTTTTTGTTCTGCAGACATTTTATTTTGTAAATGGCACTGTTCACCATTTGGGGATCACTTATGTCTTGTGCGGACTTACGGTTGACATTTGCCATAAACATTTCTCAAGGATTCTTCACTTGTGTAATATGAAATCCTCGTTTCTGAGATAAACCGTGGATAACAGAATATACATAGAACCTGATTGGAGCAGAATATTTATTCTGAGGATGTTGCAAGACCGTAAGGTTCTGACTGTCCACTACCATGCCAAATACAGTATGAATGATAGTGTCTCCAGTATTTTGCCTAAATGAATTGTATGGTTTGAAACAGAGACAACTGAAAGAACAGTGCTAACCATGGCATCGCTGGGAGACTAGCGTTCATCCTCCAAATTGTCTGGTTTGGAGCAGCAACTGATCCGGGTTCGCACTGAAACACACATACACAAGAAAACATCTTCAACACCTAATTCAGTAGAGATTTCTCTCTGTCTCTCCAAGAAAATAACATTCCCCTCAAGCAACCAATGAACAAGAACGATTCTGCGTATCTGAAGAACGGAACCGGGATGGTGATAACATCAGAGGC